GTGTGGTCTGTGTAACTTTGTTTGTGGAGTGTTAAATAATTCAGTTATGTATTGAGGGCAGTCATGGTTGTTATAACATCTTCTTTGCTATATATATATATATATATATATATATATATACACACACACACATTTTGTTACTAATTAGCTTATATCACTAGACTAAAACTAGACAATTGCATTTACTGATACTAGCAGTTCTGTTGATGCACTGAATACTTACATTTCAAGTCTTGAAGAACTGTGGGTCCTCTTCACACAGCATGAATGGCAACAGTGCATTTCATGTTGACATCATGTACATCCTTCAATGACAAAGCAAACATGAACATGTTAAACAAGCAAGCTAACTTTCTTTTATATACAGTTAAGATAGTGATGGAGGTAGTCATTTAGATTAAACTCACCTGAAGAATATAAACATTTAGAATGTCATGCAGCATCTCTGAAATCTTGCTGGTGCGTGTCGCTTTCTGTGATACAGTGGAACTCAGCACAAACCTAGAAAACCACAAACAAACACAAGTAAGTATATAACCAATAATGGATTTAGAAAAGAGAAAGACGAGACATCACACAACTTGCATTTCAACTCAATAGAGTTACCTTAATTGCTGAAGCACTTTCAGCACGCAACCTGTTCAGCCTGCAAGCAAAGAAAGTTTGTAAAGGTTTACTACAAGCTTGCCGATTTCATTAGTTAACTTAATATCCAGTGTCTTGTTAACTTGATGTCTTTCTATTAGCCTTAGCCTTACTTATTCACATGCATGTAGGAATAAAATTACATTTACCAGAACATAAACAGCACTAACATAAAACATAAACTTAACATTAAAAAGGACTGTGTTGACTGAAAAAAAACCTGCCAGCTAATGTTAACATTACACTATGCATTGACGCTAAATTAGCATTCAAAATGTGGCAAAGTACTGGGGAACTGCCGAGCTCTACAGTGCCGAGGGTTTACAGTTCAAGATCAAGATTAATTATATAAACCTGGGCTCTTACACACACACTCATTCTCACACATTATGCACAAGCGAATGTTATGGGTCTGTAACATTAATAAGTAAAACCATTAAATGAAAAATTATGTGTAGTTTTAACATTTCTTTAGCATTTCTTCAGTTTATTTGAAGATAAAGATAGCAATTAATCTAACATGTTGATCATTCTGACTGTCCTGGAATTGATGGATCATGACTAGCTGATTATTGTTACAGAACCGACGAGACGAGAGGCGTGCGGATCCATCTGCAAAGCTTTTATTAAAAGACGTGGTCACAAACACAGGCAGGGTCGAAACACCAGCGAACAGGTATGGTACGGGCAAAACACAAGAGCAGTCCAGTAAACAGGCGTGGGTCGATCGACGGTGAACAATATCCAACAGGGCAAGGCAAAGAGAGATAATCCAGGTACATAGCAATAATCCAGGCAGGGGCAAACAGAGTCCGAAACAGCAAGACAAAAAGGGTAATCCGAAAACACAGGCAAGAATCTGAACACAGGAAAACAGGCAAGGCGAGACTATGACTAAACTAGGAAAACTGGAACTGGCTCCGTAAAGTGCTATCACTAGAAGAGTAATAAACGCAGACAATACTCGGCGACATGAGCAGGATCTGGGTGGGTGTTATATAGTGTGTGTAATAGCTTTCAGGTAAGCGTGTGATTGGTTAGAGCTGTGTGCAATCAGAGCAATGGATGATGGGAAATGTAGTCCAGGGTATAGTGTAACAGTCTGTGTAGTGTGAGAGTCCATGTAGTGAGCGGGTGACCTCTGGTGATGGGTGAATTGAAGTTCATAGACCGGATTCGTGACAATTATAAATAAAATAATAAAATAAAATAAAAATGTTTTTTAATCACAAAATTGTAAATCCCTTGAGAGACTAAAATATGATCCATGCAACAGACACATCCTTGATGTCAAACACTTGATGTCATACACATTTTTTATCTCCAGAGCAAGTGAATGATCATTAGATTGCCACAAGGTTTTACTGCATTTTTTCAGTTATGCTTCTACAATGGTTCTCTAGTCTGCTGTATCTGATAAACAGAACTAAGATACTAGAAAATAAATTGAGAACTAGCTTCCTGACTTGAACCAACAGATTTTTTTTTAATTGGTTCCAGTTTAAATAAAAAAAATGGAAATTGAAAAATCACACTGACAAATTTACACATTGCAAAAACTTTTACTAGCATTATTAGTTTGTTTTTTTTGTTTTTTTAATTGATGGTTCCTTGAAGAACCTTAAACGTCTGGAACTTGTTTATTGCACGAAAGGTTTTTTATAGTAGAAAAAGGTTCTTGTTTGAAGAACTGTTTTTAATAAAACAAAAATGTTTCTTATATTTCATCGCAGCACAGTAAAAATTGGTAACTTTCAATTGTTACTTTAAGAACGTATTGTTCCCTGATTTAACCCATCAATATTAGTTTTGTTAATATAAATTAATTTATATAGGTTGGTTCAGTAATAATATTTTTAACCTGAAATAAAACCAGTTTACTTAGATGCTTCCATTTTTAGGTTACCTTTTTTTTCGGTGAAAAAACGCCCTTTTGGAACCTTTATTGTTAGCTAATTGTGTCAGGGCTACAAAAAAGGCTATTTGGATTGCAAGAGGTAAACCTCTGCCACCAGTCAAGCCTTGTCAAGGTCATCGACTAATGCACAGACGAGGTAGAACAGCTTGCTGCACACAGAAATGTCCCATCTCAACTGAGAATGGGAAGCCTACACTGACTTTTCTTGCATTGCATGGTTGTTTTTTCTTTGCAGCATAATAGTCTGCTGCTACAGGACTCCGATTCCAATCTATCCATCAAACCATGTGGACAGAACACACCTGAACCAAAACAGCAGCTCATCAAGGTGAGCGCTGCAAAACTCACACCAGCCCCAGCGACTGTCCAATGCTGGTTTGTGCAACGAAAATCTCAGTACAGCACGCACTCATCATGACAATATCCCCAGTGTTTGTTTCCATGACAACCTATTAGCATCAGCACTGACATACCTGCCCTGCACCTATTCACTGTGCACTTTCACATCACACACAATCTGTGGTAAATGCCTCTCCAGCACATAATATCTGTGTTGAGTCCATTAAGCTGCCACAATGGTTTATTTTCAATACTGAATTTTAATATATGACTAAGGTACAGTGGCAGCCAGTGAGGGAATTTTTCAAGGAGGCTGAAATGTAAATGAATACTAATCAAACCAATCTTGGTTGCAGCACGTTTATATATTATAATCTTTCCACTCATCAGCACAGCACTTGTCAATATATTAAATTGATGGAACAAATCACACAATGCCATATACATAAAATCATTATACATACATTTATACATTAATGGAGAGCCCATTTCAGCCACATACTTCATTAATTTATATTTCGGCTAAATTTTTGTTTCTCTTGAACTTGCTGTTTTACCAGCTAGCAGGTTTGATGGCATACTAACATAATTCTGAAAGATACCTCTGCTAATAAGGATACAGAAGAAACCTCGGATAAGGAATGATAAAGGAGACTAATTTAATTTAGCATCTCTACAATATTTTTCTGCTGACTTTTGCATGGAAGCGAACAACAGTGTGTAATTTGAATATCCATTCTGATTGGTCAGTTTAATAAGAATAGGTTTCTGTTGCTCTAGTGAAGTGATTAAAATTTTGTATTTTTATGTAATTTATCTGCTTTTGATATCCCACTTCTGGTCATTTATTTTTCTTCCCCAGAGTGGACACGTTTCCCCGCTTCTGGGCAGATGGGATGCATTTCCCATTTCTGACAGTAGAGGGTGATGTAAGTTTACCTACTGGCATATAAAAACATGCATTACAGATTATTCTGAATGGTAAATAATTGGATTTATTTGATTGTCAGAAAGCCTGTCCTAGGAACAGAAGTTTAATAATTGTTTCCTGCACGTTTCATTATCCGCGACGCCCACCGGTACGAGATGACTGTCAATCCTTGTTTATGCTACAGGTTATGTTCTGTGTAATGTGTACATAAATACCTTTGTATCTGATTAGTATACGTCATGCATGTTAATGGTCATTTCTGATGTTTATATCGATCGGGTTTTACCATTTTTTTCGGCCGTAATTTGCCAAACTAATCTGCTGAGTCATCACCAGCCACACTAGTGTTACGTGCAAATACAGCGAGAGTGGTTGTTATATAACTGCTTATAGCAGAGGATCATCTCCAAACTTAAATCATCACTTTCCTTTCAAGATCTGGAAAAACTCATTCATGCTTTTATCACATCATGCCTGGATTATTGTAATTCGTTATATGTCGGTCTTCCACAATCTTCATTGGCACGGCTGCAGATGGTTCAGAACACAGACACACCTACCAGATCCGAACACGTATAGTAAATAGAAACTGAGGGCATATAAATCTTTAGATGCCTTTAACTATGTACTAACAGTGGCAATTGTAAGCAAATGCAACTACTTGAACACACACCTGACACATAGCACGGGCCTTTACTGTTCCTCCTCTCTACAATTGCACTTATGGCAATTATAGAAAGCGAGAGGACACAAACGGTTTCCTTTATGTTTAGTCTCTGGTCATCAGTTAACTTGTTCCCCAATTTCTTACTAGGTGGGCATGCATGAGAAATTTTTAGACTGGTAACCAAACCATAATCCTTACCAACAAAAGACAACAGTTTATTTAACCTTAACTTCTGTCCAGACTGCTCGTTTTATTACGTTTAACCACAACTGTCGTCGTTTTTTTGTCTGGCAATGGCAGCGGGTATGTGATAAAATTTAAAATTGGAGCCTGTACACCATCGATTCTGACACTCAAAAGATGACATTTTAAGCTCCTTATGTAGCTGACTCTGTACTGGTTTGTATTGGCCTCCTCCAGTTATTCCTTTGTTTTGCCTCCAGCTAATGCTGTGACAAAATTGTGATGTCGGCACGAAAAAAGTGGTGGAACTATGACATTACATTGTAGGTAAAAAACCCGAAAACGAGTTAGCATTTTAACACTTCCGGTTCCATCGTCCCAGAGTCAATGGAATTTTTTGAATGGGAGTTTGATTAAATCCCCTAAAATAAGGTCCGTGGTTATCACAAGCTCAAAATACGTTTCTTGAAAAATACGGTTGCTAAGAAGTTACTAAATGGGACTACAGACGTTATCGGAGACATTAAACGTCTTCACGCCAAACAGTTGATCAATTTATAGTATTTTCCAATTGTTGTATAATTAGTACAATTAATTGTAAAATTACCAATTATTAGTTTCCCGCATTTTATATTGTTGTTCGACAATGTGTTTTGCTTTGCCCCGAAATGCAACCACAAGTCTTCGGATGGAAGATGCTTGTTTTATTGCTTGTTTCCTCTGGGTTCGTACCATAAGGTAAACTCATATTATGATTATTCCATGTAAACACCACATTTACAGGCTTTATGTGGTCACGAAAGTGAAACTTTAATTATGCATAGTGCTTATAACAACGTTAAAAATCAAATGTTTACTGCCACATGAAGCTGTTAGAAAGCAGAAAGATGGAGGATTTTCTAGAAGCAGGGATCAAATAACATTTTGTGTAACCACCCTAACAAAATGATAGCTGAAATGTGGTACTTTATTAACTAAAATAAATGTTACCATATCCAAAAACTTGCGCACTCTGCTGTTATTTAATAGATTAAATGCACTAGAATTGTATTGAATACTACATGGAGACACGTTTTTCATTAAAATATTAAAATGATTTAAAAAGGTTTTATTGACTTTTAATGCACCTTATTTAGAAATGTACAGAAATATGTGCTTTCATATGTACTTTAGTTATGATTATTTCATTTATTCACTACTTGCTATTTATTATTAATGTTTCATTTCAGTTTTAGTTTGGCTCTAGTTTTGTATTTATTTCAGTTTATATATGAAAAGGTTCATGTAACGTGACTTTAAATTCATCCTCCAAGTAAATCCTTTTCACTGAACATGTTTCTAAAAATAAGTTTGAAAAAGTTGTCGGAAGCATGGTGGTGGTGACGTTGAAGGCGAGCAACCATGGTGTAGTTCGTGTATAGCCTAAGTTTAGCTTTTTAGTTCTGGCACTAGTATTTAGGCAAAATTCATAAACGTTATATTATTTTGTGAAGATTATCTTGATGGACAAAACGTGTAAGTATCATGAACTATGGTTGAACACAAGAGCTTATTTTTTACTATAATCCAAAAGCCTGTAGAAAAATCCTATTGGCTTTTTGTCGAGGGAACCAGTGTGATGCTAACAGCCGATTGCCCTACAAAGTGACGTCATAGTTCCCCCACTCTATTATCCTGACAGATAATAGGTTGTTTGCACATGACGTCATTGCTGTGGCACGAAATGCAGCTGGAGGGCAGGAAGTGATTTTTTCTATATAGGAATCGCTAGCAGAAACTCAAAATGCCTATGTTATATCAATATCAATAATATCAATATATCTAAGCAATATCAAACCAAAAAAACACAAGGAGCTTTTATCGTGTTCGGAAATGTTGTTGTTCATAAGGGGGGGAAAGGCAAGAAACTGACTGAAAAACACAAGAAAATGTGCCTTGTAAACCTGCGTCTGTGGTCAGGAGGAGCTGAGTCGGATAATGCTCATGTGTGAACAAAGTTTAATTTAAGATATAATAAGATATTATATTATATTTAAGATATAATAAGATATTAATAAAGAAATATATAAATAGATACAGGGCTGCCAAATCTCATGCATTCAGCATGAGACAGTCAGAATTCACTCAATGCTAAATGCCACGCGTAGACACGATGTAAATAAAAATATTATATGTGCAGTTTAGAGAGCTTCATTGATTATAACGGAACATTGTGAGATTGCGATAAATTGATAAGTGACATCTTTTTCTTTTTTTTACCCTGTACATGCAGCAAAGTTTCAGGAGTGACATATAAATATTTATATATAAAAATGTGGGATTCACTTTCGAAATAGCTTGTTTGCAGTCAGGGTTAGTTGCTTAGCCTATATCCACCACCTTGATGGCAGGTAAGTATTTCAATTTAGTTGAAAAATCGCTCCTCTTCATAGCGTACTTGGTTACTAACGTAACCTCGGTTCCCTGAGATATGGAACGAGTACTGTGTCTGCTGAGACGCTTTGGGGAAAAACTAATTTTTCTCCGATGACTGAAGCCTTTCAATAACGCAGTGTAAAAAACAAATAAAAAAACGAACCAATGGCTCGACAGCGGAGCTGCACGAGCCTATGGCAACAAAGCCCGCCAGAATGGGCGGGGCCATCTGGCTATATAATCGGGCATTCGCCGTAGGATCCTCAGGTTACTTCGACTGAAGCAACGACTGAGTCGTACAGCTACATACCATGGCAAAGTACGCAGTACTCGTTCTGTATCTCAGGGAACCGAGGTTACATTAGTAACCGAGTACGTTCCCTACTGATACTTCACTCGTACTGCGTCTGCTAAGACGCTTTGGGGAACCAGTACAATCCCGCCATGCTATTCTAGAGGAACGACTAATACTTGAACTTGCCTTAAGCACCCAAGGGGGCCCAGAGGGACCAAGTACTTTGCAGGGAAGCCCCGCATTGGTTACTAACGTAACCTCGGTTCCCTGAGATATGGAACGAGTACTGTGTCTGCTGAGACGCTTTGGGGAAAAACTAATTTTTCTCCGATGACTGAAGCCTTTCAATAACGCAGTGTAAAAAACAAATAAAAAAACGAACCAATGGCTCGACAGCGGAGCTGCACGAGCCTATGGCAACAAAGCCCGCCAGAATGGGCGGGGCCATCTGGCTATATAATCGGGCATTCGCCGTAGGATCCTCAGGTTACTTCGACTGAAGCAACGACTGAGTCGTACAGCTACATACCATGGCAAAGTACGCAGTACTCGTTCTGTATCTCAGGGAACCGAGGTTACATTAGTAACCGAGTACGTTCCCTACTGATACTTCACTCGTACTGCGTCTGCTAAGACGCTTTGGGGAACCAGTACAATCCCGCCGTGCTATGGTAGAGGAACGACTAATACTTGAACTTGCCTTAAGCACCCAAGGGGGCCCAGAGGGACCAAGTACTTTGCAGGGAAGCCCCGCAGGAGGCAGTAGGGCCAAACTCACATCGGTCGGCCCAGCCTTGCATAATCGTCCCAACATAATTTAGTACAGCCTCAGAATTCAGTGAGGACCAAGAGCGTACATGAAGAAGGCAAGAAGCAAGCACTGGTTTTGTCATATGACAGAGTGCCCTGTTTATGCAGAAAGGACCCAAGCCTGTAAGGCCGGGATGTCCAGATTATAAAACCTGGCAAATGTGGACGGCAAGGCCCAGCCAGCCGCCGCACTACTTGAACTTGCCTTAAGCACCCAAGGGGGCCCAGAGGGACCAAGTATTTTGTAGGGAAGCCCCGCAGGAGGCAGTAGAGCCAAACTCACAGAGGTCGGCCCAGCCTTGCATAATCATCCCAAGATAATTTAGTACAGCCTCGGAACTCGGTGAGGGCCAAAAGTGTACATGAAGAAGGCAAACGCCAAGTACTGGTTTTGTCATATGACAGAGTGCCCTGTTTATGCAGAAAGGACCCGAACCTGTAGGGCCGGGACGTCCAGATTATAAAACCTGGCAATTGTGGAGGGCGAGGCCCAGCTGGCCGCCGCACAAATCTCTGCAATGGACACACCGCTAGACCAGGCCCAGGAAGAGGAAACGCCTCTAGTTGAGTGGGCTCTTACCCCCATGGGGCATTGAAGGCCCAAAGAAGAGTATGCTAGCATGATAGTGTCAATTATCCATTTGGAAAGTCTCTGCTTCGTGACCAGAGAACCCTTGGTGCGGCCACCGAAGCATTCAAATGAGGCGGAGCGCTCAACATAGACTTTCAACGCCCTGATGGGGCAGAGTAAATTCAACTCTTGGGTAGCGTCAATTATCCATTTGGAAAGTCTCTGCTTCGTGACCGGAGACCCCTTGGTGCATCCACCGAAGCATACAAAGAGCTGTTCCGCTCAATATAAAATCTCAACGCCCTGACAGGGCAGAGTAAATTCAACTCTTGGTCTTGCTCCGAAGGAGGAAGCGCCAATAGAGTTATTACCTGTGCTCTGAATGGAGTAGAGAGCACTTTAGGTATGTAAGCATGCCTTGGTTTCAGGACGACTTTAGAGTCGTTGGGCCCGAGGCAGGGTGGGCTCACAGATAGTGCTTGCAGATCTCCCATACGCTTTACCGATGCTAACGCTGGTAGCAGAGCAGTCTTAAGCGTTAGGGGACGAAGGTCAATGGACTGTCATTGGAGCTCCGTCAAGTTAATTCTTTGTCGTCTAATTTTATTTATTTTTTTTTATCTTAAAATCAATTTTATACACCATCATTTTCGTTTCTATAACGTGTGAATATATCCCCTATCGTATTCTACAACAAAAAACAATCAGAGCGCCTTGTTATCACTAGTTTTATTTTGATTTCCCGAGACCGCTATTAGCATATAGCCCATTAGCATCACCAGCGTGGTTGCCGCTAATCTCGCTTACATTGCTAATACTCTATTCACACACATTACCATTGTTTTACTCACTGTTACTTGCTTTAATGGCGGATGT